ACAAGATAAAAGTTATTTTTCCCAATTGTTCTCCTGCATCTCAGACATGATCTTATCGCCACAACCATTATTTTCCTAAAGAAATTTAAGACGAGAAAATATTTTGGGAGGGATTTAGCAGACACTGCTGTTCATCCTTTGAGTGAACATACCCTCATAATGATACTAATCTTCAAGATACATAAGAGAAAAATGGGGAAATTTTAACACTGGCCGTATCCCATCGCGGTAGGGTGACATGAAAAACTTGTTCAATGCCACTCAACCACTGTCTTGTCGGAAGGTCGCCGACATCACAGTTCAGATGACCCTCTAGATCGCAAGATCCCCACCCCTTCTGAGTGTAGGTACTGTACTTCCCACCTGCAGGACTCGAGTCCGGTTAACCAGTTTCCCCCGAATGCCTTCATAAACGTTTACCTTGTTAACACTCCAAACAGCACATACAAATAAATCACTTGCCTTACTCTAACTGCTCCAGCATTTGGTGCCAAGCCCTAGACTTATTTCTTCAACCTTTTTCTTTGAACGACCCCCTTACACCACCTTCTCCTAACCCCAATTTATTCGCCCTTCAAGTTTTCCTATTTTGTTCATTTCTCTAATGTCCAAACATTTTTAAAAATAATAACCTTGGAAAAATTTACATTTGACAACTCTACACCATTTCTAGTCTCCAAATAAGTTTCTGCATGATATTCCACACAATTGTTTCGAACACATTTTTACAGCCTCTTTTCCTCGTCCTGCTGCATATATTAGTTAAACTAGCAGAATTGATTAGTACCAATACAGCGGCTAAAACAATTTACAATCCACAATTTAGAGATGAAACTGTCTCGGGTTTCCACTTAAAACCGAGTTAGTTGTAAAGAACAGGACAGATTTTAAGACAGTGAGGACTAACTCCTCCAGCCTTGTACGAAATTCCCACGAAGTCTGAACTACCACAACCCCTGTACTGTCCCTGGACCATTTCCCAGCTTTCCCAGTGTGACAGGAAACTATGCGTGTGCGCGACAATCATACTATATCGCCACAGTTGCTACCTGACCCTTCACCTAGTCGTAGCATTGTGTCCACTATGCACCTTCCAGCGTGTGAATAAATACCTGTCAATTATACTAGTGATGGCAGTGAAGCTTCAGTTGGTGACAATTACAGCCGCTTCCCCAGGATACCGAGGCTACTACCTCTAGTAAACAGAGAAAATATAAAAGGTAGCATAACCACCGGGTTAGTAAAGTGCTGCTTTCCATAAACATTGAAGTAGGTGCTAGAAGCAAGCATAACACCATGCATATTATGAGGCGCGCACATGCTATTAGCATGCAAGAATGCTTTTTCACTAATGACATTACACATTCCACTTTCTTGCTCTTTGCATCAGGATATGTGAGTGCTATGTTCTTTTGTCATAGTATGGTAGTGAATCAATACACCAGTACAATCTACAATGATCCAACAACAACAAAAACTATCAGAGACCAAGGAAAAAATCATTCTCATGTTGAGGTATCAAACCTATGTAAATTCAGTGAACTGTTAAACCCAAGCTTGGAGGATGAAAGGGTTTGCTCTGAGGCTCTTCCGAAGGTCATCAACATCCCCTCCCCATCCCACTTCCCTGCAGTCCGGTAACACTAGGTCTCCCATTTCACCGTATGCTGATCATCGCTCCCCTGCTTTTCATTCAACGTATCCAGCACCGTCTGCCAAGCCTCGTCTTCATAAGTAGTAATTTCGGTGTGCAGGTAAAGGTATATCAAAGGTTTGGGACCAATCCTTCTAGTACCTTCCAGGTGTCGATTATGATGCATCTTTCTCGCCTACGTTTTAAAGAGCAGTTCTAGGGGTTCCAGTAATTTATAAAAGCTGTGAAGGTTCTCTGAACATTTTCTCGTTCAGCAATTTTGACTGCTTTGAAGAGGGCCGTTAGTACACAGCAATATTCTAACCTAGAGAGAACCAGTGACCTGAAAAGTATCAATGGCTTGACATCTCTTGATCTGAAGGTTCTAGTTAGCCAACCTATAATTTTTTATTACCGTTGTGATAATTTTGTGCTTCTTGAACGTGAGATCACATTTGACCAGAGGTCTCATATTTAACTAAGTTCTACCGAGCGGTTTTTGTGTCTCGTATTCCAATCTTTTTATTTCCTCCATCCTTCCATGACGCAGTAACGGAAATTTGTCCTCACTGAATATAGTGCTGTCGTAGTCCACCGACAGCCTTGGTTTATATCAGCTTGTAAGTTCGCTGTGTCTTCTATGGATTCCACACTCATACAGATTCTAACATTCTCGGCAAAGGATGGCAGTGTTTTGATTTATGTCCCTGTATGTCAGATATAATAATGAGAGAGAAAAGCAGGGGAGAGTATCGTGCCTTGGGGAACAACTTTTCACTGTAACCTCCTCTGATATCACTGTTTATTATTTATTGGGTTCTATTTATTAGGAAGTTAATATCCATTTGCCACTTTCCCAGTTATTAAATTTGCAAGCATTTCGTGTGAAATCATCCCATGGTCACACTTGTCAAAAGGCTTTTGCAAAGTTAGTGTACAGTACTACTGCGTTTTGCTCGTCTTCAGGTGCATCCAAGACAATGTCGTTATGGTCCAGCAGTTGCGAGAGACAGGAACTATCTGTTCTGAACCCATGTTGACCTGGGTTGTGCAACTGCTGCTGTTCCATGTGATTGGCAATCTTGCTTCTTAAAACCTTTTCAAAAATCTTGTTAATGTGGCAACGTCCGAGCTATTCCATAGCTTTTGCAGCTGCTTTACTGCCACCTTTGTGGAGTGGGGCAAGATCAGTAGTTTTTTAACAAGATGTGATGATTTTGGTGTTTAGGCTTCTCCACAGAATATTTAAGGTACGTGAAAGATTTCATGCAAGTCTTCAGTATCGAGCTGCACGAGTCTGGGCCTGGGGCGGATTGTGTGGGCATGTAATCAATGGCTTGAAAGTCGAGTGGAGTTATATCAGAGATTAGGGAGATGTCTGCGGCATTTTGAGTCTCGTTCATTGAGAACTCACTTGGGTCGTCAGTTTTTCGGCCGATTAGTCGTATTGGGACAATCTTTGTTGTTTTAAGTGTGTCCTATCTCCTTTAATCAAAAGGCCCAATACTAGACAGTGGATTTTAAAAGCATACAAGAAATATTCTTTATTTTCCCTCGGCTCCAATCAGAACAATGAGACCGACCGGTAAGCCAGTGAACGCTTTGCCAGTCGTTCTGGGACCAAGGATACCAGTAAAAGGGTCACCATGACAGATCAGCGTCAGGTCCCCGACGAATGCAATAACAAGTCTGTTAGTAAACAACGGGAAGAGGTTAAGTGATGAGCGGCAGTGGACCTGCTGGTCTTGACTGGCAAGGTTTTTTGATGCTCACCTTGCGCACACTACAAATACAGCAAAACAAAAATATCTGGAGCTGCAAACCCAAATATGGCCGTTACTATAAAAAAAAGTTTAACGCAAGCGACATGTTACAATTTGGATGTGGGCCTTTGTCAAAATGTGAGAAGTTTCATTTAGTATAGCGCACTACTATGGTCAACAAGAAGTGTAGATAAATGATTCAGAGAACCGATAAGTTGATAAATTAGGTACATTTGCAACACTAGGGTATATTTGATTAGACTTTTAGCCACAGTGGCTTCGTCAATCCAATACAGTGAGTGGGGAAGATCAGTAGTAGTTTGAGGTAACAAGTCCCTCAGCCTGGAATTTATTCAGTCCATCAATCTTTTCAAGATTGATGGACTGATTACAGACTCTAGGCTTAGGGACCCGTTACCTCCTGAGCTTCACCACTCGCTGCATTGTATTGACGAAGCCACTATGTGGCTAAAAGTTTCATCAAATATACCCTTGTGTTGCAAATGTGTCTAATTTATCAAGACTAGTTTGTGTCGACGAAATCTTACCCTTCCTGGTGTCCTTGCCACCGCGCAACCTATTCTCTTGTGGACGTCTCACGTACGGTTTACAGTAAATTTCTCGACTGATATTTACGTTACGTTTAGTTATGCTAGCTTGTCCTCTATCAATACAACTAACCAATCATATCACAGGATATAGGAAAGTACTGGTTTGGTAATAGAGTTGTGGATGAGTGGAACAAACTCCCAAGTACGGTCCTAGAGGACAGAACGTTGTGTAGCTTTAAAAATAGGTTGGATAAATACATGAGTGGGTGTGGGTGGGTGTGAGTTGGACCTGATTAGCTTGTGCTACCAGGACGGTTGCCGTGTTCCTCCCTTAAGTCAAGGTGACCTGACCTGACCAGGTTGGGTGCATTGGCTTAAGCCGGTAGGAGACTTGGACCTGCCTCGCATGGGCCAGTAGGCCTGCTGCAGTGTTCCTTCGTTCTTATGTTCTTATGTTAACAGCAATAAATTAAAAGATATGCAAGGCGATAAAAAAGCTCTAATGCGCGAACACAAAACAGGGACCCTCATCCATTTGACTGTTCTAGTAACAGCGAAATACTTTAAGAAGATGGGCTGCATACATCAAGGCCTAACATCAAGGCCTGGCACACTACCTACCAATACCAGTGTATCCCACAAGTACCGTGAAAAGTGGGGAAAAAAATTGGCATACACTCGCACTTCGTCAGACAACTACCATGGAGGTTAGAGGACCCTGCCTTCTACTCGAGGCTACCACAATGTGGCACGTGCCTTTGCACTACGCTCAAACCAACCACGCACCCAGCCTACAAGGTACGCCTTCAAGTTGCCACGACGGGACGTGTCGGTAAATATGATCGAGGCACGAGACAAGTGCCCAAAAGAGCTGGAGGAGGAGGGGGTGATGCCCAAACGAGCAGGAGGAGGTGGTGGTGATGCCCAAACGAGCTGGAGGAGGATGAGGCGATACCCAAACCAGCTGAAGGAGGATGAGGATGCCCAAACGAGCTGGAGGAGGATGAGGTGATGCCCAAACGAGCTGGAGGAAGAGAAGAGTGACTGATGTACCTTGGGGTTGTGGCTGTGGTGTCGTTTCTTGGTCTTGCGGCGGTTCCGGCGTGACGACTGCGGGTAGGCCCTGGGGAACGACCTCTCGCTGAGTCGTCGCTCTTCGTGAGTGTTGTCCAGGTCGTCAGGGCAAACTCTGTGGACATCGCTCTCGCCGCCAGTCTCCCAGTAGTCATGGGCGGACACGCAGCTGCTCTCAGGGCTCTGTTCCAACACATCACCCAAGTCTCAATCAACGTACTCTGGGTCACACTACCAACATGCTACACTACATCAACCTCTCACTACACTGTTACTTACCGCTCGACTTCCATGAGAAACATTTATTACCCCCATACAACACCCACTAGCATCACCCTTACCCATTACTCTAGCAGTAAGAACCGCGAAGTATAAATACGAGACCGCTATACACACACACACACACACACACAAATATCACATGTTATACAAGACTTGCACAACAAAAACGTACGATGGATTAAGTCATTTTAATTCAGTACAGTAATATGTAGAAAGTTGTAGGAAAGACGTCGGAAATTACGCTCGCATGTACGTGTAGCGTGAGAAAATATTGGCAACAGGCTTCCGAAAACGCTCAGAACGAGGTACAGCGGCTGTAAGAAAGTCGGATAGCGGAATGAGAGAGGCTAGAAGGTCAGGATAAAATAAAGAATCAGGCTGGCATTTGAAAGTGATCGTGACACTGATATAAGGACTTTCGGGAGAGAAAACGCCCAACCTGTATTGGAAAGGGACTAGGGTAGGATTAAGAGCTACAGAGTTGAGTGGTAGGGAAGGTGAGGGGCAACCGATACAAGAGTTAAGCTGGGGTGATCTGGTGTTTTGTGCTGGTGTGCACAAAGTTGGCTCTGGGCTACACGTAGTTGTGGTAGTAATAATAGTTATAGTAGTTGTAGAAGAAGCGGCAAGTGTTAATGGAAAAATAACAGAAGCAGTGGTTGTGGTAGTATAGCAGCAGCCGCAGTTATCGTAGCAAAATAATAGCAAAAGTAGGAGTAGCAAAAATAGTAGCAGTAGTAGATCAGCAAAAATAGCAGTAGCAGCAGCAGCAGCGAAAATAATAGTGGTAGCAGCACCACCACCACCACCGAAGTTGCTGCTGCTAGTACTAGTAAGACTTCACTCCAGAAATTATAATAGTAAAATATCACTAGTGACATATGGTGTGGTAGTAGTGAAAACTATGCTGAACAATGGTAAGCTGTCTGTTTACCTGTGTTGTGTGATCCTCGTCAACTGTGGACAGAAGATCATCGTCGTCATCGTCTTCGGGCGAGACTAAGGAATCAGAAGGACTCTCCAGGAAATCCTGCAACACAAAAGAACCGGAGTCAGACCAAACCAGTTATGTATTCCCGCACTCATCTTCCCCGTGTGCATACTAAGTATATGAAAATAATCGACTCTGCACGATAGGGTAATATTTCAACCGGTTCATAAAGTGTCCTTCATTCCTCAGTCATCGGTTTTAAAGGTTCTAGAAATAAGGTCACAAAGTCAGGAAAAGTTTTAAACTTTTCCTAAGTGAAATTTTTGAAATTTATTGTGTGATTTTTCCGCTGATTTTACTGTCTTTCAACCCGCAAATAACTCGATTCATCACAGCTTGAATGACACGGTTTGAACTTCTGTAATTGTTTTCATCCAATTTGGAAAATCGGAGTATTCTGCTCTGATTTCGCGTACACACATTTGCCAGCAAAAACTGGTCGAGTTGAAAAACTATAACAAGTGGATTCTTAAGTCCCATATCAACCTGTATACTTAGTGACCTCTGCCAGTTATGAGTTACTTGAGTAACTGCAAGTGCAACGTAAACAACCAGCACTCCGTACGCTAAAGATAAAGACTTCGTGTGAATATGTATGCATATATCGTGTCAAAATAAGATTATAATTTAACACCTATATGTATGCATTTATCGTGTCAAAATAAGAATTATAATTTAACACCTAAAGTGAGTGATTATATGGCGCGAGTATGAGGGAGGAGGGTGGAAGGAGCAAGGAGAGAGGGAGTGTTATTTTGGCTAGGACAAGCGTAATCACTGAGCAACAAACATCAACAACAGGCCAGGACAGTGTCCACACCGGATATGGAGGGCCGGATAACACCTGCGACTTGGTTACTACTATAATTAGAGCGTCCTCCAACTGTCAAATACCATAACCCTTTAAGCACTTTCCCTCCCCCCCCCTACTCTCCTTCACCACTTTTATAACATACTTGTAGTTTATACTGTTGAAGGTTTAGTCCATAAAGACAAATACCTAAGTGAGAGGAAAATGCGAACATATGGGCCAGAGTACGCAAGGTGCAAAGCGCATGTGTGTATACATTTGTGTGTATACATTATGAGTATACATGAATGTGTACTCACCCATGTGTACTCGCCTATTTGTGGTTGAAGGGGTCGATTCATGGCTCCTGGCCCCGCCTCTTCATTGATCGCTACTAGGTCCTCTCCCTGCTCCATGAGCTTTATCAAACCTTGTCTTTAAACTATGTATGGTTCCTGCCTCCTACGTCACTTTCTAGGCTATTCCACTTCCTGACAACTATGTCTGAAGAAATACTTCCTAACATCCCTTTGACTCATCGGAGTCTTCAACTTCCAACTGTGACTCTGTGTCCCATATCTGGAACATCCTGTCTTCGTCCACCTTGTCAATTTCTCGCAGTATTTCACAAGTCGTTATCATGTCTCCCCTATCCCTCCTGTCCTCCAGTGTCGTCAGGTCGATTTCTCTTAGCCTTTCTTCGTAGGACAATCCCCTTAGTTCTGGGACTAGTCTTGTTGCAAACCTTTGCACTTTCTCTAATTTCTTTACGTGCTTGACCAGGTGTAGATTCCAAACTGGTGTTACATACTCCAATATGGGCCTGACGTATATGGTGTACAGAGTCTTGAACGATTCCTTACCGAGACATCGGAACGCTATTCTTAGGTTTGCCAGGCACCCATATGCTGCAGCAGTTATTTGGTTGATGTGCGCCTCAGGAGATGTGCTCGGTATTATACTCACCCCAAGATCTTTTCCCTTGAGTGAGGTTTGTAGTCTTTGGCCACCGAGACTACTCTGTCTGCGGTCTTCTTTGCCCTTCCCCGATCTTCACGACTTTGCATTTGGCGGGATTAAATTCAAGGAGCCAGTTGCTGGACCAGGCTTGTAGCCTGTCCAGGTCTCTTTGTAGTCCTGCCTGATCCTCATCCGATTTAATTCTCCTTATTAACTTCACATCTACAAACAGGGACAGTTCTGAGTCTATCCCTTCCGTCATGTCATTCACATATACCAAAAACAGCACAGGTCAGATATTCTCTGATCCATTGCAGTGCCTTTCCTCTGTGTGTGTGTGTGTTAGTTACCATTTTGTCGTGTGTGTGTGTGTGTGTGTGTGTGTGTGTGTGTGTGTGTGTGTGTGTGTGTGTGTGTGTGTGTGTGTGTGTGGTGGGTGGGGGTGTGTGTGGTGTGTTGGGGTGGGTGTGTGTGGTGTGGGGGTTGGGTGTGTGGTGTGTGTGTGTTGTGGGTGTGGTGTGGGATTGTGTGGTGTGTGTGTGGTGTGTGTGGTGGGTGTGGGTGGTGGTGTGTGGGGGGTGTGTGTGTGGTTGGTGTGTTGTGGTGTGGTGTGCTTGGTTGTGTGTGGGGGGTTTGTTGGGGGTGTGGGTTCTTGGGTGGTTGTTTGGTTGGGGTTGTTGGTGTGTGGTTGTGGGTGGTGTGTGGTTGGTGTGTGTGTGGGTGTGTGGGGTGTGGGGTTTGTGTGTGTGGTTGTGTGTGTGTGTGGTTTGTGTGGGTTTGTGTGTGGTGGTGTGTGTGGGGGTTTTGGTGGTGTGTGTGGGTGGTGTTTTGTGGGTTGTGTGTGGTTGTGGTGGTGTGTGGTGTTGTGTGGTGTGGGGGGGGTGGTGTTGTGTGGGGGGTGTGTGTGTGGTGTGTGTGGGGTGTGTGGGTGTGGGGGGTTGTGTGGGGTTTTTGTGTGTGTGGTGTGTGGGGTGTGGGGGTGGGGTGGGTGTGGTGTGGGGGTTTTGGTGTGTTTTTTTGGGGGTTTTGTGGTGGTGTGTGGTGGTGTGTGTGGTGGTGGGGGGGGTGTTGTGTGTGGTGTGGTGGGTGGGTGTGGTGTGTGTTTGGTGTGGGGGTGTTGTGTGTGTGGTTGTTTGGTGTGTGTGTGTGGTGGGGTGTGGTTGTGGGGTGTGGGTGTGTGGGGTGTGTGGGGTTGTGGGGGGTTGTGGGGTTGTGTGTGGGGTGTTGTGGTGTGTGTGTGTGGTGTGGGGGGTGTTGTGTGTGTTTTGGGTGTGTGTGTGTGTGTGTGTGGTTTGTTGTTGGTGTTGTGTGGTTGTGTGTGTGGTGTGTGTGTGTGTGTGTGTGTTGTTTTTTGTGTGTTTGTGTTGTGTGTGGTTGTGTGTGGTTTGTGTGGTTTGTTTGGTGTTGTGTGGTGTGGTGTTGTGGTTTTTGGTGTTTGGTATAGTTGTTTGGTTTGTTTTTGGTGTTTGGGGTGTATTGTTTTATGGTTTTTGTGTTTTGGTTTTTTTTTGGGGTTTTTGGTTTTGTTGGTGTTTTTTTTTTGTGTTGTTGTTGTGTTTTGTGTTTTTGTGTTGTTTGTTGTGTTTGTTTTGTGTTTTGTTTTTTTGGGATGTTTGGTTGTTTTGTTGTGTTTGGTTTTTTTGGTGTTTTGTTGGTTGTGTTTTTTTGTTTGTGTGATTTTTTTTTGGTTTTTTTTTTTTTTTGTTTTTTTTTTGTGATTTGGTTTAAATGTATGTGTTGGTTGGTGTGTTTTGTGGTTTTTTTTTCCCTTTTTTTTCTTGTTTGTGTGGTGTGTGTTGGGGTGTGGGGTGTGTGTGTGTGTGGTGTGTGTGTGTGTGGTGTGGTGTTTTGTGTGTGGGTGTGTGTGTGTGTGTGGTTGTGTGTGTTGGGGTGTGGTGTTGGTGTGTGTGGTGGTGTGTGTGTGTGGTGTGGTGTGTGTTGTGGTGGTGTGTGTGTGGGGGTGTGTGTGTGGTGTGTGTTTTTGGTGTGGGTGTGGTGTTGTGTGGTGTGGGGTTTTGTGGGGTGTGGTGTGGTGTGTGGTGATGTGTGTGGTGTGTGTGTGGTGTGTTGTGTGTGGTGTAATGTGTGTGTGGTGTTGTGGGGGTTTGTTGGGGGTTGTGGTGTGTTTGGTTGTGTGGTGTTTGTGTGGTGTGGTGTGTGTGTGGGTGTGTGTGTGTGGTGTGTGGTTGTGGGTGTGTGTGTGGTGTGTGGTGGTGTGTGGGGTTGGTGTGTGTGTGTGTGTGTTGTGTTGTGTGTGTGTGTGTGGTTGTTGTGTGGTGGTGTGTGTGGTGTGTGTGTGGTGTGTGTGTGGTTGTGTGCCCCCCGCAAACAGCCAGGTACATCCACCCTCGACTGAGTTTTTTGGTCTGTAACCAAGCTTTTTTATAAAAGTCGAGGTTTAACAGCCATCCCTACCAACAACAACCGCTCCCCCGTTCACCCCTCCCTGAACCCAACCCCCAACCACCACGAAGGTTAAATCATGACTTCAGCCAACCTCCGCGCTCGCCATTACCCTACAAGTAACAAATTATACAAAAACATACTGTAACAAATTTACAAAAAAGTAAACAATCAAAGGACAACAACCCAAAGCTACACTGAAGTTTAAATGGTTAGTTTTTCAAACCCAAAAACTGCTGACCCTTTGGTTTTTTTGAAGTTGAATTATTTGAAGCAAACATTAATTAAACTTTCTGGTTCTCTTAATTATCAAAAGACGGGGGTTTAGTGTATGGAGAGGGATCACTAGTCAGTTTCCAACTCGTCCTAATACAACTCATACTTTACACTTTCTAAGCTGGGTTGGGTTGGGTTGGGTTAGGCTTGGATAAATTTAGCTAGGCAAGGCTAAGTTGCAACGGGAAAATTAAATACAAGATAATAAAAGACTATAAATAATCTGCCGCGTAAACATAACGGGCAGCCACGTGCTCGGCTCGTATAATTGCTGTATTTCAACTGCTCGTGGTTCGGTCAGCAGCCACCCGTTTGACTGTTCTCGAGAGTTTGCTCTCATGTGTGCTTTACTACTTAAATCTTCGTGATGGTATTGTTTTCATTCTTTACACAGACAAGACGAGCTGTTGTATATATAATATAAATTATATATATATATATATATATATATATATATATAATATATATATATATAATATAATTTATATTATATATATATATATAATTTATATTATATATATATATATAATTTATATATATATATATATATATATATATATATATATATATAAGTTTTGTACTCCAACTTTCTGGTATAACACCTACGTAG